AGGTCAGCCAAGTTCCAGCTTGTTGGTGTGGAGGTAGTGGAAATTAAACTTGATGTGAGATGTTGTTGTATTAGATGGAAGTCACGCTCTATGTGCTTCGTTCTCTCATGAAAAACAGGGTTCTTCACAATATGTAAAGAAGGTTGGTTGTCACAATGCAAAGTCGCTGCTTCAAGATGTTTAACTCATAACTCCTTAAGTATGTATTGAAGACATATGAGTTCACAACGTATATTTGACATGGCTCGGTCCTCCGCTTCAGCGGAGAAGCATGCAACAGTACTTTGTTTTTTGGATTTCGGTAGCAACAGTACTTTTTTTGGCTTTCGGTCCCAAAAAATCTACAGTAGCCCGTAACCGATCATCTAATGATAGGACAAGTAACCCATTGTGAGTCGCAAAACGCCTTCAACTTGATATCATTTTGCGATGGAAAAAAACAAACCAGGACCCGGTGATCCCTTGAAAAAACAAGTCATAGGCAAATCGTATATATCTGAACAATCATTGTTATCAAATTTTCTTTTTCACCACAAAATAAGGTGCGGATTCTTGTGGTACAAGTACAACCCTAGATATGGTTTTCAACTGTTTTGTGCATATTTGATGTGTTCCATCAAAAAAAGTAAGCCTCAACCCAGTTTTATTTTCACATTGTTAAGTCTAAAAGTCATTAGAGAAATAGAAATGATTTTCACACATTTCTTTATTTTTTGCAATATTTATGTCCGTTGATTTTTCTTAAACTCATCCGATTCAATACTCAAAGTGTGGCATTTGACCATGGTGAACTGAGCGACTATGACACAATGCACTATGTTTCTGTACACTCACATAACAACACTTAGGTAGGGAGCATATGGATTGCATTTGTTATGGCATAACCTTAGGAACCTTTTTTCTCTTCTTTTCTTACCTATGCTTTTTTCGCGTAATTGATGTACAACATGAAATCGGTGTTGTGGACACTAGAGTTCACATGAAATAAGAGAGAAGTGAAGTGATGGTTCATATGCACCGATGCACTCCATGAAAGTTATTTTCCATGACATTGGACATAATATAAGTTTGGGGTGTTTTGATATAGGCGCCTAATTTTTTTAATTTTTTAGACTAAACATACACTCCTTTTGAATTTGATCAAACATTTTTCTAAAATTTTGGTTATTAATTTCAGTTTTTCACATAAGTTCAATTTTATTTAGAATTTTAGTTTTTCACGACTTTTCCTGGACATTTCGTTTTTTTTTTCTTTTCCTCTTATCCCTATATTTATGCATTTATTATCCATCTCTATGCATTTTTTTTTTATTGTTTGTTATAATTTGACTTTTTTTTTTTGTGAATATAGTAGAATATTTATAAAAAAAATTGTCAGATTTTATTATTTAGAAGACCCAACACATAATAAAGATTTGTTTGATTATATGGCTACGTCTAGTTACCTATAATATGGACACATTTAGTTTTATAGTGGATTTGATTTTTTGTAGTTGTTGGTACATTTGGAATGTAAATGTACCAAAAGGGTTATCTAATAGAGACATTTGGTTTTGTGGTAAATTTGTGATTTTTTGTTCATGTGGTCTTTTGGTACATTTGGAATCTAAACGTACCAAAAAGGTTACCTGACAATGGGCACATTTGGTTTTATGGTACATTTGAAATTTTGAAACATTTGGCTTCTCTGTACATTTGAAATATAAACGTACCAAAAGGGTTACATAACAATGGGTACATTTGGTTTTATGGTATATTTGAATTTTTGGTACATTTGAATCCTAAACGTAACAAAAGTCGATACTTTTGTTCTCAAATGTACCATAAGTTTTAAGTATATTTTTTATATATCTATATGTGAAAATATATGTATTGAAGACTTTTTATTGAGACATTTTTAATAGAAATAGAATTTTTCTTTTTCTTTTTAAACACTGATAACAAGGTAATGAGGAATTAGTAATTAATTTTTTATTTTATTTTATTAAAAACATATCATTTAATGCATAGAAGGGGATTGACAAAATTAAATTCTTATATTATAGGCAATTAGTTGCTAAGCTACCTTATGCCTCTATATAAATGCATTTAAATTAATGACATGAAAATTAAATAAATAAAAAATTATTGAGGCGGTAATTGATCAAAACACCTTAATCAAATCTTTAAAAGGGATGAATATTTAATCTAACAACTATAAAAAAAGATGTAGGATATTCTAATTTTCCCTATAAATTTATGCCTTCTACGCATTCAAATATTAGTTACCTCTCCACTCTTTGATAAAAACTTAGTTGAAAACATTGTGCATGCATCTGTCTTCACTGACAAGTTAATTACGTAAATATTGATATTTGACATAGGATTTCTTCCATTTCTGATCATATTACATAGATATTTTATGAGTTTCCTTGGAGATATTTTTTTAAGGGTATCATTTACGTTTATGATTAACTGTTGTACATGTACATATATAATAATTTTTTTTCATGGAAAAATGCGTCAAATGACAAGACTTCGAGAGTAATTAACCACGAGTCGAATGAGTTTTTCTTAATTTTTAGCTGCAATAATGCATTGTGTACATCCTTGGTGACATTGCATGTTGCCTTTGTTCAACTTCACAGAAGCCCTCGTGCCTTGCTTTTCCAGTCAACAAAGAATTTTGGCAACACCACAAAGTTGATCGAGTTTTCTGTTGTAAGTAGTCCAAGTCATTAGGGAAACTGCATAAAGATCGAGTTTTCTACTGGGGAACTTCCCTGTAAACTTAAAAGGAATGACCATGGTGATTTGACCTACTAAAGCACATGCCGCACACTATGTTGTTGCATCCTTACACAACAATATTTAGGTACGGTGTAGAGGCTGCATTTGTCATGTTATAGCATTTTCTTTTCTTTTCTTACATATGTTTTTTTTCACGTAACTGAGAAATGGCACGAAGTAAGTGTTATGAGCATGAGATAGCGTGTGAAGAGAAAGATGAGCAAAGTGATGGTGGGCTGATATGTATACACCGACTGCACAATTCGTCTAAAATTTAGTTGAAAAATGTTGAGGTACAATTCACACGAGCAGTGCATGCAATCAAGACAGCTCAATTTTTCTTCCATTGAACTATTTAGAAGAGGGATTTGACTTCTAAAGATTGAGAAGGACTTAAGTTTCATGTTATCTGTTTTTTTTTCAACTACATTATGTGCTTTCTGTGACATTTGAATGATGTTTTTGTTCCAACGTTAATTACAGAAGCACTTATGTCATAATCGCTTTTCCTCCTCACTCACCACACTCAATAATCCTGTTTGGTTTATAATTATCTTTGAACAAATAATTACCAGCAATTTCAGTGAAAATCAAAGTTGGAAAATGTAACCTTGTTTTATACAACATATTGGACCCAGTAATTCACATAAAGCCCATAACATTCAAACTATTCATTGAACATCATTGATTTAAGCCCCCACAAATCAAGTTCTTCTTCTGGGGAAGCAAGAAGCAAGAAGCAATAAGCAATAAGCACTAAGCAATAATTGGAAGCAAAAGCAGAAAAAAAAAAGTTGAAAGCTGGTTGGTAGAGTGTCAAATGAGATCCACTCAAAGGGAGAGAGACAACAAGGTCCCCTTTAATCTCTAATTTACAGACAACAAGTAGCATCTTCTCTTCTTAATTCTCGCACTCACTTTCTTTTGTGTTTGGCTTTTTCTCAGGCTGCTCCAATTATTCTCCTTTAAACACTCAAAAACTTTGTTATTAAAATCTGAACCACCACACTTCCATTCTGTTTACAATAAAACTCAATACACTTGTAGTTCAAATGCTTAAAAACATTTACAGCCGCGTTCGAAGTCCTATGTTCAAATTTTATTTTCCTTACTACCGCTTGTATCAAAACCAAAAACGTATGTTGTATAAGGTGAGAGAACAAAACTCCTACGAAACACTTGAAGTAGTTAGTTCACTTTTTTACATCTTTTTTGCAATAACTGATCACGTTATCAACATGTAACAGGTAGCAAGAAATGTAATATTCAATTGAGCACTTTAAAATTCTTTCTTATTCTACTCTACAGAAAACAAAAAAAATAAGAAACCCAAAAGATCACTCTTGTTTGTACATTTTGAGAAGAACATCATAAGAGTGTGGAGGGAATAGGGTCGAGATATTACACAAAAAGATCAAAATTTGAGAATTGATATAGAAATGCAAATTAATAAATTAATTAAGGCAGCATAATCAATAGCCAAAAGTTGAGGGGCACAGAAATAAGGTTGATTATTTAAATTGTAATTAACCCTATCAAATTGTCTGTTCTCTGGCTCTACCGTGCCACCTAGCCATAGGTGTTGGGTTAAATATAACAAAAATTAATTAAATTCCAGACCAAGTAAATCAACAACTATAGACGACACTCTAGAGAGCGCTAAAAGTCCACAAGCTAAAAAATGGTTTAATTTTTTTAAAAATTTATCTCTAATTGAATATTGGATTATAATTTTATGAAGCTCACCAGCATTATTTGGCCAAATGGACTTCAGGGAGGCCAAATGTAGTCCCCCTCTTAGCCTTTTTTACGGATTGAGCTACTTAGTTGCAATATTTTGTCCAAAATCAACAATTAGATTTGAAAATATCCAAATATAGTTTAATTAAATTAACTAATAAATGTCAAGTAAACTAAAACTAATAAATTATTAAAGAGGTTATGTTTAGTCTCTTTAGTTAGAGATGGTAATGAGTATGGCTTGACATTATTTATTTAAAAATAATATTTTGTAAGGCTATAATTCTAGACGGAGTTATGTTTAACCATTTCGATTAGAGATGATCTCAACGATCAAAATATGGAGACAAATTTATAAATCAGTGCAATCATATAGCGTTACGGTCTACCAACAGAAAAATATTCAAACGCTACATGTTATATATCATAAAACTTGTTACATGTAAGTCATTGAGGAACTTTGTCTTCTTCGTTGTTCCCACACTCTCCGTCCCGTTCCCGACCGTTTAAACCCTCATGCTTGATTAGCCGACAAAAATCGCAGAACCAAGGAAGAACGGAAAATATTCTCCAAACATTTAATATTTAAACTCATAAAATAAATAAATCTCCAAAAAACTATCACTCTCCTCACTTCTTCTCACTCTACAGCAACGGTCCACCGTACACCGTCACTCCCACTTTTTGTAGACCAATTTCTCTCTCTCTCTCTCTAAACTCGCTTTGATTTCACACTTAGGGTTTCGGCATTATCATGTGAAACCCTAGCTCGCCCAGGGCTAGTTAGGGTTTTGGCGAGATCCGTGCAGAGCTACCGACAGAGGGCGTTGCAATGGGAAATTGCTGCAGATCTCCGGCCGCTGTCGCCAGAGAGGACGTGAAATCGAACTTTTCCGGGCACGATCACGGCCGGAGGGACTCCAACGCCGGGAAGAAGGCTCCGACGACGGTGTTGACTGGCGTGCCGAAGGAGAATATAGAGGAGAAGTATTTGGTGGATCGGGAGCTCGGCCGGGGGGAGTTCGGCGTTACTTACCTCTGTATTGACCGCCATAGTCGTGAGCTCTTGGCCTGCAAGAGCATTTCGAAGCGGAAGCTCAGGACTGCCGTGGACGTCGAGGATGTGCGGCGCGAGGTGGCGATAATGCAGCACTTGCCGAAGAATTCGAGCATTGTGAGCTTGAAGGAGGCTTGCGAGGACGAGAACGCCGTGCATTTGGTGATGGAGTTGTGCGAGGGCGGTGAGCTCTTTGATCGGATTGTGGCGAGGGGGCATTATACGGAGCGGGCTGCGGCGGCCGTAACCAGGACCATTGTTGAGGTTGTGCAGCTCTGCCACAAGCATGGAGTGATTCATAGGGACTTGAAGCCAGAGAACTTTTTGTTCGCCAACAAGAAGGAGAATTCGCCTCTCAAGGCCATTGATTTCGGCTTGTCTATATTCTTCAAACCAGGTACGCTTCCAATTTCGAATTTAGGGGTTTTGAAATTATGATGCTAAGCTTCAAATTGAAGTATTCACTGATATATATATATATATATATAGTATCTTCCTCGAATGTTTTGATTGTGACTACGCTTGCGATTTCGTTGGCTTATTATAACTGGTTAATGAATTCTATGGTATTTATCTTCAATGAATTGCCTGCTATGTAGAATGTAGTGCGATTCGTAATGCTTGGACTGAGTTTGACCATAATTTATAGTAGTTAGCCAGTAGTGCACTTGCATTTTTGTTGTTTATTCAGTTGTCCAATACTATGCACAAGTGACTGCCTATTCGGCTCTTAGTTAAAATAGTTACATTTCAAATTTGACATTGTTAAGTTACTATCGAAGGTTTAAATGTGTAGCGAAGCATTCATTTCAGCTTTGCACAAGTTAAAGTTACAATATATGAACTACGATGAGCTTTATTTGTTACTTTGATATGCGATTTTAAAGGGTTGATATGTGAAAAAATGTATTGGCTGGGTTTGCTGTAATGCACCAGGGAATTAAATGAATGACTCTAACTTAAAACAAAGTATGGGAGTTTAAGAGATGAAGACTTTGATAATTAACTTAATAAGGGTCTAATGATAAACTTGTAATCTTGTTATCCCAGTTTCATATTAGAAAAGTTGCATTGTTGTTGCCATCAATGTTCGCTCTTATGTTTTACACTTGTGTCTGGACTTGTCACACACTTACATCCTTTCCCAAGATTGTTTTTCTCTTTGATGCTTGAATCTTGTAGATTCCTTGTGAGTGTCAGCAAATAATGCTAAACAAACCTTAGGTATCTGAGGTTGGAGGTTAAAGTTCTCTTTTGAAATGAGTTAGGAAAAAATCTGATCTCACTCCTTCATTCAAGTAATGACAAAGCTTGAAATAGTTCTTCAAATAGCTGCCAACAGAGTAAGCAGGTTAATAGCGTTAAACAGACATTGAATGAAATAAGTTTTTTCAGAGGCAGAACATGAGGGTTTGAAGAAATGGATACTCAAGAACCAGAACATGGGTATTCGAAGAAATAAATTTTTCTTTTTCTGATATGAAATAAAGACTTTATAAAGTGGAAAAAGCTATGAGTTACAACAATAACATCTAACTGTGAACAAGAAGTCCAAATAAGTAGATTTCTCCTAATGCCTATTGGGTGTGGTAAGCAGGAAATTCCCAAGTATTGTTACTGTTATTGGTAACTACAACATTGCAAGCATGAATTTCTGCTGTTTTTTCTAAATTATGCTAATTGAGGTACATTTTCTTGTCATATGCATGGATGTTGCTATCTTCTTATTAACTTCTACAAAAAATTTAGGTGAGAGGTTCTCAGAAATTGTTGGAAGTCCATACTACATGGCTCCTGAGGTGCTCAAGAGGAATTACGGGCCAGAAATAGATATATGGAGTGCAGGAGTTATACTGTATATTTTGTTGTGTGGGGTGCCCCCTTTTTGGGCTGGTAATTATATCTTCCATTTACTCTCTCTTTCTCTCCAATATCTTCCTCACCCCCTTGAGGAGGGGAGTTTGTTCCGTAAAGAGCTTTGCATTTTACATTGTGTACTTCTATGCAGAGTCTGAACAAGGGGTTGCACAGGCAATTCTACGTGGGCTGATAGATTTCAAGCGTGATCCATGGCCCAATATTTCGGAGAGTGCCAAGAGTTTAGTTAGGCAAATGTTGGAGCCAGACCCAAAGCTACGATTGACTGCGAAGCAAGTTCTTGGTATTGCATCTTTTGTGATATTCATATACTTTGCGATAGGGATCCATTGAACAATTTTAATGTGGAAATTGAGCAAGCTCTCTTGTTTATATTATGAAGAGTTTACGCTGTTAAAAAGGTTAATGTATTCTTCATATGATTTGAAATATATATCAAGTATTGCATTTAACAAAACTCTAGATAGGTATCTTGGTACATGAGAACGAAATTTTGACATGCGTAAACAATGCAATGGTGTGGACGGCTACATTTCTGATCTTTAAGGATGACAATATGCCAGTCTCCAAATGGAGGAAAGCTTATGTTTTCCCCTAGATTCCCACTGAAGTACTAATTTTGTATTGTTTGTCCTGTATAGGAAGAACGTATAGTTGTGTCTTGCTTGCTTTAAGTTAGTACCTAATGTGTCATACTTTCTCCTTTTTCAGAGCATCCTTGGCTCCAAAATGCTAAGAAAGCACCGAACATTCCCCTTGGAGATGTTGTCAAGTCAAGGCTCAAGCAGTTTTCAATGATGAACAGATTCAAAAGAAAGGCCTTGAGGGTTGGTTGACTGCTCTTACAAACTTTCTAATATGTTTGGTGTATTGTACTATGTTTCAATGCAAGTACTAATTTATGTGGAACTTCAAACAGGTTATTGCAGATTTCTTTTCCGTTGATGAAGTTGAAGACAGTAAGGAGATGTTTAAGAAGATAGACACTGATAATGATGGAATTGTTTCAATTGAAGAATTGAAATCTGGACTTCGGAATTTTGGATCCCAGCTTGCCGATTCTGACATTCAGTTGCTTATTGAAGCAGTGAGTATTGCTTCATTGTTAACTCTTATCAAAATTAGATCTAGTATGCATTAAGCAATTAAGTTATATATTGATAATATGATATTGAGCTTTACATGGTTCTCGCTTTGTTAATAGACCAATACTTATCCTCCAATCCATTCTGTTCAAAGGGATTAATCTTATATTAATTAGACATGTTCTTAGGGTGGTGGTGTTAAAGCAAATACGCATTAGTTAGATTTAGATACAACATTTGTTAGGTATCAAATATCTGCGCCTAATGCTTAAATTTTTTGGGTTAGATATTCATTTATTACGTATTTAACAAATTCAACCAATGCACTTTATAAGATCAAACAAATTTTTCCTCTAGTCCCGTGTACAGTAGGAAACAATACTGTAAAGATGCATTCTAAGGAAGGCCAAATTGGGTAAATGATCCCTGTGGTCGTAAGGTATTCGGAAGATAGGCCTTGTGCTAAAAAAACTCGGATTTAAACCCCTGTGGTGTACTCCGTTAGCAAATTTAGTCCAAAAGTGATTTTTCCGTTAACCATCTGTTAATACATGGGTAAAATTGTACTTTCACATGTAAACCCTATTATTAACCCTATTAATAAAAAAATAAAATAAAAAAATAAAAAATAAAAAATAAAAAAAAACCAACCAAACAAAACAAACCCAGAACCTCCCTCGTGACCCACTTCTCCATCTCCTCCCTCTTCACCTCCCATCCCTTCTCTCTCCCCAAACTCAGAACCTTACCAAGGAAATTTCAGTATAAACTGACCAACCAGTAATGTAGATCAGGTGCTTTGCATTAGTAATTGCATCAAAGATGTCTTCCCAGCATCTGCGGGGCTCATAACGTTTGCCTCCGGCAAGAGGAATTTTAGGAATAAATTTATCTGGGATATGAGCATCTTGGTAAAGGGAAACCTTACACCCTTGTCTCTGTGAGAAAAATGTAAACGGAACTGCAGGAAACTTAGTATACCCTTGTCTCTATGGACAGTGATCATACGAAGGTGGGTTGGGGGTGAAGAGGAAGGAGTGGGTTTGGGGAGAGAGAATGGATGGGAGGTGAAGAGGGAGGAGATGGAGAAGTGGGTCACGGGGGGGGAGGTTCTGGGTTTGTGGTTTTTTTTATTTTTTATTTTTAAATAGGGTAAATAATAGGGTTTACACGTCAAAGTACAATTTTACCTATGTATTAACAGATAGTTAACATAAAAGTCACTTTTGGACTAAATTTGCTAATGGAGTACACCACAGGGGTTTAAATCCGAGTTTTTTTAGCACGGGGGCTATCTTCCGAATACCTTATGACCACAGGGATCATTTATCCGATTTGGCCTTCTAAGGAATATGACTAAGTCATCTGTAGGTCCAAATTGTAAGATTATTCCTTCGTGGAGATTTGTACTGCTGTACTAGATACATTCTTCCCCATTTGGGCCCAGACTTCTAAACCCAAATATTTTTCACTTTGAATGCAAATTTTATGTTTTGATGGAAAAGGTAATGTAGGTGTAGGGAAAAGGAACAATCGGTGAAGCTGATGAAAAAGCATACATATCTTGTTGTAACTTATGGATTTTCTGTTTTCATGTCGTGTTTGGTAGTTTACCACTGACTTTGTGTCATTGATTCTCAATGACCTTTGTTCCTGCAGCATGGTCACTTTTTCGAAATTACTGAATGAGAAACATAATTTCCATAGGTATATCAGTATTTTCTGGTTTTAATTTGATTAGTTTGTTGGTAACAGGTTGATACTAATGGGAAGGGTACTCTGGACTGTGGAGAATTTATTGCCGTTACCCTCCACCTACAGAGAATGGCAAATGATGAGCATCTTCACAAGGCATTTTCCTACTTTGATAAGAATAACAACGGCTATATTGAACCAGACGAGCTCAGGGATGCATTGATGGAAGATGGGGCGGATGATTGTACAGATGTAGCAAATGACATATTCCAAGAAGTGGACACAGACAAGGTGAGGACTCGAGGAGCAATTGCATCTTACACTCTTACTATGACATTGCGATGACGAACTTTTTTTTTTTTTTTTTTCCCCAACTTGTGATGACAAACTGATGTTATTGTTTTGTTGATGCAGGATGGGCGTATCAGCTATGAAGAATTTGTCGCCATGATGAAAACCGGGACAGATTGGAGAAAGGCTTCTCGTCATTACTCAAGAGGGAGATTCAACAGTCTAAGCATAAAGCTGATGAAGGATGGTTCCATAAATTTGGGGAATGAGTGAAAGCATAGACAAGTTTGGTAATTGGATTGTTGATGCAAAAGAAGTAATTCGGTCTTTTCAACACATCAGCGAAGTCATTCGGTCTTTTCGGCACATCAGCTTCTTTGCTTTCATTTGTGGTTATTGTAAGGGTCCCTTGATTGAGACGGGGCTCCTTTTTGCTTGGGTGCCATACAAGTTGGATCATGGAGGGGGGATGGGTACGTTCGTTTGTCCCTGCAATCGTCTAATGGTGTAAAAACACAGTACCTCGTAGCAACGACACAGCATGTATGTATGGTTTTTCTCTGTTAATCTTGTACGCTCCAACGTTTTGTAGCTGTATTTTGCTTGATCATATTGGATTGAACTACATCAGCGTGCGTTTTCTGGACAACACGAGTACCTCATTGTTTGGCTAAAAGGCCTTCCCAATTAAATCCATTTCTCCAAGGACTAGCTGAATAAAGTCACAACTCAACGAAATCCTAAACCTCGGAATTTCCTTTCATTTATAAGCACTAATCCGTAATCGGGTGACTTGCTGAATAAGTCATGTTTACCTTCGCTTTTACGGAATACTGAAAACTTGTTTGGTAACTATTTTTATATTTTCAAACAAATGGGATCTAAAATTAAAATCAAGCCCAAATTTAAAACCTCTTCATTCCCAAATTCCATGCTAGTAACGTCAGAAAGCGTGCATCGCACTTCAATCCTGGCTTGAACACGGTTGCTTGACTTTCATGTTCGACCATGGATACAGCCCGAGCCTCGAGACCCTCATACCACCCTTGGGACGTACCTGAACGAGAGTCAAACCTTTTCTGGTTACTAAAATGTAGCGTTTTAAAATAGTTAGAAATGATCAAACTTGGAAGTTTAAAATTAACGTGAGGGCATAACGGGTAAAGAAATGGATTCTTGATGAGTTATTTCTTCAATAATTAGAACACCATCCGCAGCGAAGACCTATCGCTCACAATTAAAGAAGAATATCAAGACCTCTCACTCTCATGTGTTAAATTAAGAGTTGAAGTCCTCATATTCTGTTGGCCCACCTATGTTTTCATTTTCGTATTGTTAGTTTGCATTAAAATTCTAATTCTTATTTTGATTCTGATTATGAATAAGTAAACATGTGATTATCATTTATTTAGTTGTTGACTTGTTATTGGGCTTCTAGCCTCACATTTTACCTAAACAAAGAAAAAACTTATTCAAAGCATTTACCATTGCCAGTCTTCACATTGCCTTAATTTATGTTAGTATTCTCTCTATTTTTTATTATTTTTAATCAGGAATCCGATTATCCGTAAAAGAGAAGTGGGTTGTGATTGCAAGCCCATGCCCGAGCCAATTAGACAAGCATAATAAGGCTTTGTGCAGACTCTACTTTTCCAATGTAACAAGAAAATGGCATCGAAGTGATCGGCCTGAACCGAGTGGTAGAAGCCATTCCTCCTAATGACTTCTTGATCCAATCCCAGGGAACAGATTGCAAAACATTAACTAGTAAAATTTGTCTGTTGCCTGTTGATGTTAATATGTTGTTATTATCTTTTTTTTCTTTTCCCTTCTTTGTTTTTTTTTGTCAGTTGAACAGTTTCATATGCTTTTCTACGTATAATAAATAGTATTTTGTTGCAGTCCTATCAGATTAGAAATATGATTGTGTAAATCCTAGTATATCTAGGAGTATCTTGTAGTTACATATTAGAAGTTAATTACCTATTAAGAGATGTAATCCTATAAGGGTAAGGATTCTACCCTTCGTACTACTATAAATAAAGACATAAGGGGGTGATACAATACACACCTCAGAATTAAATCTCCCTCTCTCTCTCTTGTTGCCGCCGGCCCCCTCTCTCTCTATTCCTTAGATCGCTCAGTTAATTAGGCCTACAACACGTTATTAAAACGCTCTTGCCAGAAACTAAGGAACTGAAGGATCGTAGGAGGAGGCTATCTTCCACATATTCAAGGGCTCTCAATTGTTTTTCTGCCAATCAGGTTCTTTTAAAATAAATTAAGATATTTGAAAAAACCTTGAAGCATGAAAACATTTCCCATGGTGCATGAACCCCCTATATTTATATTTTCCTTCCAATTATATATATCGTATATATGTTCATATATTTTGTCAATATATATAATTGTTCATGCATTACGTATATATGCTATGTGGAATTGTGAGTAAAAAGAATTGAAATTAATTTAGAAGCAATTAGGGTTTTTAACCCTAGAATTCGAAAAAAAAAAAAAAAAAAACCAAAATTGGGTACTTTTTTTTTAGCACCACCAAGCTAGCCTGAAGCCCACATTTGAAACCTAGCTGCGACTGGGGTTTCTTTGCACACCTGCATGCCCTTTAGGCCTGCAGCCATGATTATGGCTGATCCTAGTAGCCACCCGAGCCCATTAAACTTTATAGGGCCTTGCCTGACGCACGACACCCATGCCCACCATGTTTGGATCATGGTTTTTCGAACCCAATGGTAATTTTTGGCATTCTAATTTTTTTTGCTTCTACGATCGACCCCGAATGGTCTCAATCTATTGAATTAATTAAAGTGACTAGGAGTCCACTATACTGACAATTAATCCGAAATTATTGGCATGAAGCTCACTTTTTGGCATTAACGATTCAATAAATTATTTTGTCTCTTTGAATCGTTGACCATCTTTTGTAGTCCCATAGCACTCACACTTAGGTTCCTAAAGCAATCCACAAATCCACTACACTTTATTGTATATGGTATTATGTGTTCTTGCAGGTACCCCTATATGTATGAACTAAAACGTTCATAACTAAATCGAATTTGTAGTTTCGAATTTAGTGCCTTTGAAACCTGAAGTTTTCATTCAAAATTTACCACATGAAACCTGTAGCTTTCATGCATAAATTAAACCAATACATGTCTATAGAACCTCAAATATTCTACAATCTATGTATATGGCTTTCCATATGACTAACCACGTTTTGTTGTACTCTCTGTTTAGGGTCATGTCGAACTTGAACAAGTTCGATTTCACCGCTCTGGAAGTCTCCGGAAGAAATTACCTGAAGTGGGTTCAAGACGTGAAGCTTCATCTTACTGAAAAAGTCTTAGAGCTACCATTGAGGAACCAATTGACGATGCACCTGTCGACAAAGCTCAGAAAGCTACTGCTATGATCTTCATTCGAAGACACATCCATGATGCACTGTAGACTGAGTACCTCATAAAGGAGGATCCACGTACCCTCTGGCTCACCTTGGCAGATCGCTTTGATCATTAGAAAGACATTTTCTTGCCTGAAGTAAGTCACGATTGGCAGCATTTACGCTTCCAAGACTTTACGTCCGTGAATGAATACAAATATGAAGTTTGTAGAATCTGATCACTGCTTAAGTTCTGTAACAAGGACTTAACCAAATAGGATCTCTTGGAGAAGACTTATTCGACCTTCAATACCCTCAATATTGTCCTGTAGCAACAATATAGGGCACATAAGTTCACCAAATTTTTAGATTTGATATATCTTCTACTTCTTACTGAAAAGCAGAACCAGCTTTTGATGAATAATCATCAAGCTCGACCTACCAGCTTGAACACTGTGCCTAAAGCGCATGCGACAACTTTTAGCAGCCATAACCGACAGAGATCCTGTCGTGGCCATGGGAAAAGGCGAAGCCTCACCACGGGCCCAAGGTCCACCACACAGAGGCCCATCCAAGGGAGGAAATTTGGCCCAGAAACCCCAACCCCTTGCCCCGAAGGCCCCAAACTTCAAGAACAAAGAAAAATATACCGTTCAATCGGATTCCATTGAATTGGACATGTGTTACCGTTGTGGAACAAGAGATCATTGGTCACGTGTATGTCGAGCTACCCTCAAAGCCATTGCCAAGTATCATTCCCGTCGTGAGTCCAACTTTGTGCATGTAGAAATCCCCGAAGTGGCTACTACAACTCTGGGGGTTTCAAATTTTCAGGAGGTATCCGTTCCTATGGAAGAATAAATTTTAGACATGTTTTTAAGGTGTTTAACCCCTAGTGGCCGAACCCCCACCTAAATTTTCTAGGCTTGTGTTTTAATTTTGAACAATTTTAATATGGATATTATTTCTTTAATTGATTAATTGAATGAATGGAATTATATTTATGCATGTGACCGATTCAATTAATCTATTTCTAGGTATGACTAATGGGGAAGTTAGTTGTCTGGCTGATAGTGCAACTACACACACACCATATTGCATAAGAAATAGTATTTTACTAACTTCGTACCTAAGAATGCACCTCTGACAACCCTCTCAGACCCATCCAACCTGATATAAAGATACAGAAAGACCCGTATAATGTTGTCCAATGGTACTGAATTAACCATTAAGAGGCACCATATTCTCCACGTTCTGGAAAAACGTTGCTGATTTTAAAGATATTCGAGATAATCAATATCATGTTGAAACCACTGAAAATAATGGTTCTAAATTTCTTTGTATCACTTTTTACTAATATGGTCGGAAGCGTCTTCACGAGAAGCTAGAACATCTCCCGAGTAGGTTGTACATAACAACCATTTGAGCCGTAGAGACACACTATGTGGCCGGCCCTAGTGCTGGGTTCCAGAACACTTTGTTGCTTTGGCATGATCGAATGGGACACCTCGGACGAGATATGATGCGCTGTATCCTCAAAGCATCTCATAGGCATCACTTTAAATCTTATTCCAGCCATTCGCTTTGCAAAGCATGTTCATTGGGGAAATTAAACATTCAACCCTTAATTACAAAGATTATTCACGACCCTCTTAAATTTCATCAGAGGATTCAATGGGATATTTATGGACCTATCCAACCAACATACGGACCATTTAGATACTTTATGGTGTTGGTTGATGCATTGACATGATGATCACATGTCTGCTTATTGTCCACATGCAATACTGCATTTGCGAAACTTCGAGCACAAATTATTAAGCTTAGGGCTCACCACCCTGATTATCCGATCAAGTCAATTCGACTAGATAATGCTGGAGAGTTTACGTCACAGACCTTTGATGATTATTGCATGTCTATTGGGATTGAAATTGAACATCACGTACCCCATGTTTATACCCAAAACGACTTGGCAGAAATTTTCATAAAGCACCTTTAAACGATATCTCGGACTTTGGTTATGAGAACTAATTTGCTGGTACTTGCCTGGGGCCATGCAATATTACACGTAGCTATGTTAGTCCGCCTAAGGCCCACCGCTACCCAACCTCATTCACAGTTACAGTTGGTTACTGGATACGAGCTTGACGTCTCGCATTTACGTGTGTTTAGGTGCGCAGTCTATGTGCCAATAGCGCCGCCACTATGTACCAAATTGGGTCCTCAGAGAAAA